CTTCATTCTGCTGTTTCCACCGGACACTGCAGTCGTGGGTGGGGAGCGCTGCATGCCTGCTCGGCCGTGCAGCAGCCCCCCTGTGTTAGTACAGCCAGAGCGACATACCTACACATTGCTTTGCCTGTAGCTGCCACCTGTCCACAGTACATTGTGGGTGGGCAGTTGGGAAGCGTTTAATTTGCAGGGATTTCCTCTCACTTACTGTTTTGGCTTTGGAACAGGAAATTAAGGGAAATATCCCCTATGGGACCCTTGCTCTGTCCAAAAAGAGAAAACGTTTTGCCTATAGTTCTACTTTAAATGTGCATAGCATGCATAAACAAAACCACATGAAGTGTTTATAGATATCATTAAAGGTTGTTGTTGATATAAATAAAGAAACACACTAGAAGAAGCCATAGTGCAAGCTGCAAAGGGGGTATTACAATATGCTTATGCAGATATGCATGTTGTGACAACAGCAAACTTATGTACATAATTTCATACACTGGTGCTTGGAATGAAGGTTCCAAAAAACTCATCTATATGCTAGCTTTTTTGCCCCAGTGCTATGGCATATAACTTGATTGCATTCTGCTTTTGCCTAGCATATGCTTTTCTTGGTAAACAATCGTGGTACTGGTCACATTTATTTTTTTGTACTTTTTTTTTTTTTGATCATGACTATTTTTATATCAAATTTTGACACTTGCATGTCTTAGAGTACCCTATCAGAGCATAAGCAGCATTACTTAAAAGTTCAACACATTCTGCAAGATTGAACACTATACAAATTGTGCATCCCTGTGTATTTTACTAGAAAGTTTCAGACAACATACAGTATTTACTAGTGAGTTTATATCTGAGAACTTAAATGAATATGCCTTGCATGCATACCATAGCAGTGTATCATTGCAGATTTTTTCCTACATATATTTTAACAACTCCTAGCCCAGGCCAATTCTGGTATTTCTCTCCTACATGAAAAAAAATCATCATTTCTTTGCAAATTTTTATGTCACACAGTATATGTGCAGCCTATTTTCAGACTTTAATTAATTTTACTGCACAATAAAACCCCACAATATATAACCCAATGTCTGGAAAAATATAAAAGGTGATGTTACACCGAATGATTAGATACCTGTGCTTTAAAATTGCGCATGTCTGTGGAATGGTGCCAAACTACAGTACTTAGAAATGTCCATAGGCAACTCTTTAAAAATGTTACAGGCCACCAGTTTAGAGTTACAGAGGAGGTCTAGAACTAGAATTATTGCTCTCACTATAATGTTCATGACTATACCTCACATGTGTGGTACGAATTCCCTTTACATATGTGGGCGTGACCTATGCATGCTTTTTAGCTTCTGTGTATGAGAATGAAGGGATGGGGTGCTTTTTTTCCTTTTACAAGAAATGTAAACATCCCTTGTATTAGGAATAGGGCATGACAGGTCATCTTTATGAAGACATCTGAGGTCAATAAGATCCCAGCTATCTCCTCTACCCTAGAAAGCATGAGATTTAAAAAAATGATCTCCAGGGGAAAAATAGCAGTGGTTACATCTGTCAGAGTTGGAAGTGATGTCATTACAGTGCTTTTGGCCTCCCAGGATCATAGAGATGGCCGGGGACCATCCAGTCCATGGCCAGCTCTGTCATAACCTGAGGCTACTGCTGGATTGGATTCCGGGCTCCCCAAGCGCATGGGAGAGCACACAGAGGTGCCTGTGGGCGGCCAAAGGGGGTTCGTCCCCTCCCACTGCCTGTAAAAGCCATTCAGCGGATAATCAGCTGCAGGCATCATCCAGATATCGCCACTTCAGGTCAAGGGCCTCATATGACATTCTACAGAAGTGTTTAAAGCTGCAATTGCCTTTTTACTAGTTCATTTTATAAACATCAGTTTACATCAATGCCTCATCAGTTTCCTCCAAAATGTAGATGTGTTTTGTGCTTTCTATAAAATAAATTGAACATAAATAAATGTACTTGTTTTTACTTTAAAGACATGTAAACTCATTGCTTATGAGTAGCACTATTCAATAAGATTGCACATATTTTAGTACTTTGCTTATGTGCTAATAGGGTAAATAAAATACGACTTGGATATCTATATTAAAATGTTCCCAATCTTGTAAGTGAGTAATAAGCATTTTAGTAGTATAACAATGGTAAAACCTATAAAAGGCAATATTTGATGGAGGGTATGCAAACTAATTTAGTTTTAACAGAAGTAAAACAAAAATGGTTTGGGCAGTTACTAATGATTTCCCTTTGTGGAATTTCTTTTGTTGTTGCTACTGAAATTTGTTTAATGTAAACTATTAAAAATTAGCACACCTTAACACTCTACTATTGCAACAAGTGTCAAGGGTCCTTAACACCTTTTACATAATATCAGCCCCCATTACAAACAATGTATTTAAATAAAGAGAAGAGAATGTGAGAAACACTTACATTTACACTTACATAATAAAAGCTGTTGACTTGTAACTTTTAATGCAGTTTGACTGAATCCAAACTGATTAGTAGACTAAAAAATAAAATAAAATAAATACAAATAAATACTGTATATATACTACTTCAATAACTGTTTATACTGAACCTCATGGAGAATATGGTGTAGTCTCTGAGGGATGGTTAGTCTCCTGAGGCTATGACAACATATCTAAGAATCCATGATTTCCAAGGAATAGCACAAAAGGTTTATTTCTATAACTGTTGGCATACAAACCATGCCACCATGTTTTAAAGCTAATGCCTATAAATTTGCCCTTGATTTAGTTATTGCCTCTACCCATACCATTTAAAGTAAAAACTAGTTTTGCTATTTGTGTCAACTATATACACTGCAAGTATATTTCAGTGCAATGACAATGCACATGTTAAAATCATGTTTTTAAATCATGATTTATCCCAGTGTTGTTGCAGGAAACATTGCACCTCCAGCTATCCTGTGAAAGTAAACCCTAAAGCCATTTCAAGGTATGTCATATTCCATACAATGGCTTACCCTAAACTTGAACTAATGGCAAAACTTTTTTGCCTTGGATATACAGGTTTTTATTGCTGTCTGTATTCTTGTTAGGGTGATAAACCTCTATTTGTCCTGTTTACCATTATCACCAACAGTGAAAGTGAAAAATCAAAATATTTGGGTTGTCACCAAAATAGGAATAGAGGGGAAATCTTTTAATGCAGACACTAGTTTTGGTGACCCTGCTAAAACCAAGTGTTTCCTTATTTTGAAGGGATTTCCTCTTGCTTCCTGTTTTGGCTATAGAACAGGAAGTGAGGGAAAATCGTCCCTATGGGACACAGAGGGAAAAAACTATCAAAGCTTATAACCCTCCCTTACTCTATTCACAATTTTTAAAAAAAAAATTGTTTTACCTTTAGTTCTGCTGTTAAGTTGCAACCACACTTGGGGCATGTCTAAAAGGGACAATGGGGTTGATTAAAAAAAAATCAGGAATTGGTCACTTGAATTGATCACTTAGTAAGTCAATAGTCACCTTGCAAAGTGTATGATTTCCTGTTTTAGTGAATAAAGTTAAGCATGGTCACTCTAATTATACAATTATACAAGAGGACCTAGTAGATGGAGAGTGTGATGAGGCTGAAGCATTATGGGTGGAACTGCACATGGGGGTGCATACTACAAAGGTAATCATTGGAGTTTGTTATAGGCCTCCCAGTGCTAATGAGGAGGTGGAGACTCAGCTCCTTGCACAGATGGAAAGGGCTGCAAGGGCTTGGACAGTGATAATAATGGAGGATTTTAACTACCAGGAAATTGACTGGAGTAATGGTACTGCAGAAACAATTAAAGGGCAGAAATGTATTAACTTACTACAGGACAATTTTATGGTACAGTTCATAGAGGCCCCAAGTAGGAATGATGCTCTGCTGGACCTGGTAATCTCAAACCATGCAGAGCTTATTACAAAAGTCCACATAAAAGAACATCTGGGAAGCAGTGATCATAACATGATTTAATTTATTGTTAGCTGTAAACATCAAGCACATATGGGAAAAATAGAAACTCTCAACTTTAAGAGAGCTAATTTTCCAAGGCTGAGAGCTGCTCTCGAAGACTTAGACTGGGAAGGAATATTGGCATCGATGAACACAACACAGAAATGGGAGTTCTTAGAAAAGACTGTATATATTCCCATGGGCAACAAGGCTAAAAATCAAACTTATGTGGCTTACGGCCAAAGTTAAAATAGCTATAAATAATGAGAAAAGAGCTTTTTATTAAATATAAAGATGAAGGAACGCTATCATCGTTTAAACATTACAAATGCATAACAGAATATGCAAAAAGGAAATAAAGGCCTCAAAAATTGAAAACGAGCGACAGATTGCAAATGATAGCAGGACAAACCCCAAAAAATTCTTCAAATATATTAATAGTAAAAAGATCATGTCTGAGCATGTAGGCCCTTTACAAAATAATCTAGAGTAGGTGACTGGGGACAAAGAGAAGGCAAATTTATTAAGTACCTTCTTCAGCTCTGTGTAAACAAAGGACCATGGGAGAGCTCTTGTCCATAATGGACATGGAATTGACACAGCTCCAGATGATCCACATTGGCTCACAATTGATATGATCCAGAAATATTTAGACAGAATAAAGGTGAATAAAGCACCTGGACCGGATGGCATACACTCATGGATCCTTAAAGAATTGAGCTCTGTCATTTCAAAGCCATTGTTTCTTATTTTTAATTACTGGCATAGTACCACTGGATTGGTGTAAAGCCAATGTGGTGCCTACATTTAAAAAGGGAACAAAGTATTTACCAATTACAGACATGTTAGGTTAACATCTATTGTTAGGAAAATACTGGAAAGTTTAATAAAAGACCACATAGATGATTTATTGCTGAGAAAAAAATATTTTAAGCAACAGACAACATGGATTCATGAAAGACAGAAGTTGTCAAACAAATCTGATTTCTTTTAACCTCCTTAGCGGTTTTCCCGAGTGAAGCTCGGGGTAGAATTTCTATACCACAAGCGGTAACCCCGAGCTACACTCGGGCTTACCATGCGGCGCTGCTCTGGGGGTCCCTGCCGCACTTACCTTGTCCTTCGTTCCCACGATGTGTCCCCTGCAGCGTCCCCGGCCATCTCCTCCGGCCGATGCCGGCATCCGGCTTCTGTGTTCCGGTCCCCGTGACTACGGGACGTACGGGCGCCGGCGGCGGGCAGGAAATTTAAAAATTTTTAAAAATGTCTTTTTTTTTTTTCAATTTTAAATAGTAAAACATTGCTGTTTCATCCCATTTCACATACATATTGTCCCTAGTGCTTTGTCCTGTGCCCTGCCTGCATTTTGTCTTTTCTTTCTGCCTGGAAACTTAGAAAAGTCCATGGCGTCCAAAAAGCGTCCCTTTACGTCAAAAGCGGTTTTAGACCGGCTAGAGAACAGCGATAGTAAATCAGAACCACTTACAGAATTGAGTGATAATGATTTGTGGGGAAATTTTCCTAAAAATTACAGCCTACAATAAAAAACTATTTCCATGCAAAAAAATGGTACCGCTTTCAGCACAAAAAATCGGAAGGAATCATACCGCCAAGGAGGTTAATGAGGTAAGCAAAACTTTGGACAGAGGGGTGGCTGTGGACGAGGTATACTTGGATTTTGCAAAAGCTTTTGACACAGTTCCCCACACATGTGAAAGGTAAAGTCTACAGGCTTGGAAAAATCATTACGTAAATGGATAGAAAACTGGCTAAAAGATCGTATTCATACTCTGAATGGTCTAGGGTTATTAGTGGTGTACCCCAAGGTTCAGTGTTGGGACCCTTACTTTTTAATATATTTATAAACGATATAGGGTGTGGGATTAAAAATACCATTTCAGTCTTTGCAGATGACACCAAGTTCTGCAGTGGAATAAAGTCCTTATAGGATATCTCCAATTTACAAGCCAACCTCAATGCACTGTTTAATTGGGCAATCATATGGCAAATAAGGTTTAATGTTGATAAATGTAAGGTTATGCAATTGGGGGCTAAGAATATGCATGCATCATACATACTAGGGGGGGTACAACTGGGGGAATCAATGGTGGAGAAGGATTTTGAAGTTATGGTAGATCATAAGCTTAATATGGCATGCAATGCCAAGCTGCGGTTTGTAAAGTGAGCAAAATTCACTAAGCTGATCAGCAAGTCCTGGCCTTATCCATGGAGGGATGCACATACCTCTACAGGCTAGACAATGGCACCCTGACTGCCATTAGGTATCGGATTGAACCCATTGTCAGACCCTATGCTGGTGCAGTGGGTCCTGGGTTCCTCCTGGTGCAGAACAATGCCTGGCCTCATGTGGCGAGAGTATGCAGGCAGTTTCTGGAGGATGAAGGAATTGATACCATTGAATGGCCCTCACACTTGCCTGACTTAAATCCAATAGAACACCTCTGGGATATCATGTTTTGGTCCATCCGACACCACCAGTTGCACCTCAGACTGTTCAGAAGCTGAGTAATGCCCTGATCCAGATCTGGGAGGAAATACCCCAGGACACCATCCATTGTCTCATTAGGAGCATGCCCCGCCATTGTCAGGCATGCATACAAGCACGTGGGGGCCATACAAACTACCATTTTGAATTGCTGCAATGAAATTTCAGCAAAATGGACTAGCTTGGTGCATAATTTTTTCACTTTGATTTTCAGGGTGTCTTTGATTTCCATCCTCTGTAGGTTGATAATTTTGATTTCCATCAAATGATGGGTCATCCTTACGTTCCTAACACATTACCCAGTCCATATCAGTATAGATATCCAGCATGTTATTTTTGCCCATTGAGATCTGATGTGTTTTCAAAGTGTTCCTTGATTTTTTTTTGAGCAGTGCATTTTATTTATATCAATATATTAACAAAACTTGAGTTTTCACTTGATATTCACTCTCAACATTCAGTTCTTACATAAGCATTTGTTGAGCAGGTTTTTTTTAAAGCTAACCACTGAAGGACATGACAACATTTCTAACTACATGTTATTACAGAGAACCTTAGCAGCACATTTACCCTTTGCCTTCAGGACAGATTTTATCTTTGTTGTCGCTTACGCTTATAAGTAATGAATGGTGTACAATTGAAGTTTCTAGTAATTTTAAAGAAGAAAAGACTTCAGTTTTATGTATGGATGAATACAAATCTATTTTAAACTTTGTGCTCCAGAATGTCCTAGAACAGTGATGGCGAACCTTTTTGAGCCCGAGTGCCCAAACTGCAACCCAAAACCAACTTATTTCTTTCAAAGTGCCAACACTGCAATGAAACCTGAATATCGAGCTTTTGGTTTAGAAAAAACAACTCGTACAGTAGTGCAAACTAATTAACAGTACAGGGATGACCAGAGACTGCGGACACAGTACATAGGGATGACCAGAGACTGCGGACACAGTACAGGGATGACCAGAGACTGCGGACACAGTACAGGGATGACCAGAGACTGCGGACAGTACAGGGATGACCAGAGACTGCGGACAGTACAGGGATGACCAGAGACTGCGGACACAGTACAGGGATGACCAGAGACTGCGGACACAGTACAGGGATGACCAGAGACTGCGGACACAGTACAGGGATGACCAGAGACTGCGGACAGTACAGGGATGACCAGAGACTGCGGACAGTACAGGGATGACCAGAGACTGCGGACACAGTACAGGGATGACCAGAGACTGCGGACACAGTACAGGGATGACCAGAGACTGCGGACACAGTACAGGAGATGACCAGAGACTGCGGACACAGTACAGGGATGACCAGAGACTGCGGACACAGTACAGGGATGACCAGAGACTGTGAACACAGTACAGGAGATGACCAGAGACTGTGGACAGTACAGGAGATGACCAGAGACTGCGGACACAGTACAGGAGATGACCAGAGACTGCGGACACAGTACAGGAGATGACCAGAGACTGCGGACACAGTACAGGAGATGACCAGAGACTGCGAACAGTACAGAAGATGACCAGAGACTGCGGACAGTACAGGGATGACCAGAGACTGCGGACACAGTACAGGGATGACCAGAGACTGCGGACACAGTACAGGAGATGACCAGAGACTGCGGACACAGTACAGGGATGACCAGTGACTGCAGACAGTACAGGGATGACCAGAGACTGCGGAAAGTACAGGAGATGACCAGAGACTGCGGACAGTACAGGGATGACCAGAGACTGCGGACAGTACAGGGATGACCAGAGACTGCGGACACAGTACAGGAGATGACCAGAGACTGCGGACACAGTACAGGGATGACCAGTGACTGCAGACAGTACAGGGATGACCAGAGACTGCGGAAAGTACAGGAGATGACCAGAGACTGCGGACACAGTACAGGAGATGACCAGAGACTGCGAACAGTACAGGAGATGACCAGAGACTGCGAACAGTACAGGAGATGACCAGAGACTGCGGACAGTACAGGAGATGACCAGAGACTGCGGACACAGTACAGGGATGACCAGAGACTGCGGACACAGTACAGGGATGACCAGAGACTGCGGAAAGTACAGGAGATGACCAGAGACTGCGGACACAGTACAGGAGATGACCAGAGACTGCGGACACAGTACAGGAGATGACCAGAGACTGCGGACACAGTACAGGAGATGACCAGAGACTGCGAACAGTACAGGAGATGACCAGAGACTGCGGACAGTACAGGAGATGACCAGAGACTGCAGACAGTACAGGGATGACCAGAGACTGCGGAAAGTACAGGGATGACCAGAGACTGCGGAAAGTACAGGGATGACCAGAGACTGCGGACACAGTACAGGGATGACCAGAGACTGCGGACACAGTACAGGGATGACCAGAGACTGCGGACACAGTACAGGGATGACCAGAGACTGCGGACACAGTACAGGGATGACCAGAGACTGCGGACACAGTACAGGGATGACCAGAGACTGCGGACACAGTACAGGGATGACCAGAGACTGCGGACACAGTACAGGGATGACCAGAGACTGCGGACACAGTACAGGGATGACCAGAGACTGCGGACAGTACAGGGATGACCAGAGACTGCGGACACAGTACAGGAGATGACCAGAGACTGCGGAAAGTACAGGAGATGACCAGAGACTGCGGACAGTACAGGAGATGACCAGAGACTGCGGACATAGTACAGGGATGACCAGAGACTGCGGACACAGTGCAGGGATGACCAGAGACTGCGGACACAGTGCAGGGATGACCAGAGACTGCGGACACAGTGCAGGGATGACCAGAGACTGCGGACACAGTGCAGGGATGACCAGAGACTGCGGACACAGTACAGGAGATGACCAGAGACTGCGGACACAGTACAGGAGATGACCAGAGACTGCGGACAGCACAGGAGATGACCAGAGACTGCGGACAGCACAGGAGATGACCAGAGACTGCGGACAGCACAGGGATGACTGCTGACCTTTGGGGAGGGAGGGGGAGCGGGTACCTGAATTTGACAGGTACCCGCTCTTACTTCCGCAGAGTTTTTTTTTTTATCTTACCTGTTCCTTTATCCAGCCGCGCGTTGTCTTCCCGGCTTCTGTAGTGTGGTCGGACAGCCGGATGCCCAGTGCGCATGCGCGAGAAGCGCTGCACTTTGTGATTGGTCCGGCGGCTTCTGGGATCTGTCATGTGTCCCAGGTACCGCCTTACCATTCACAAAGAGCACTGCTTCTTGTGCATGCGCACTTGGGACCCGGCTGTCACGCACACTACAGCAGGGAAGACAGCGCGCCGCTGGATTCTCCTGGCGTGCCCACAGATAAGGCTCGGCGTGCCGGCTGTGGCACGCGTGCCACGGGTTCGCCATCACTGTCCTAGAAAGTATTTTATTTTAACACACTTTTCATAAAACCACTCTTAAATCTTCTTAGTAGTGTGCATATCAGCAATATTATACTGGATCATTAGAGCATATACAAATAGTTAAAACTTATTCCCAAAAATCACTACCACAAGATGACTGCAAATACATTACTCCTAACATGTGTTAAAGAATCCTTTTTACATGATGTCATTTGTTTTCTTACAAAAAGAATCAAAAATATATTTTTGAGAAGTAAAACAAAAATTCAAATAACATAAAGAACTGATTGTAATAAAATGGAAATTAAATACTATCAATGTGTTTTCTGACAAAAGTGACTTCCTAAAGAAAATTGTGTGTGATCAGTTTTAAGTGTTGTAGCTTTGTACATACAAAGTAATATTAAACTTCTATGATCCCTCAATATTTGAATGAGCTTTCACTTGAAAATCAGAAGTATTAGCAAATAGGAGGTAAAAATCTGAATAGGACTGATGATAATGAGCACA